ACAGTGTATTGGATCCGGAAGCTGTCCAATATTCGTCCTGTCTGCCATTCATGTTAATCAAACAACAGTGAGAGAAAATCTCTCACTGCTCTTGACTAAATCAATTTTGTAACTAGAATAAGATGAAAATAAATAAATAATGATAATGATAATAATTATATATATATATATATATATATATATGGATATGGATATATAGATAGATAGACAGATAGAAAAATCTCTGAATAGCTTATGTGCTTCTGCTGACATTACCCTATGCTACTGTTGACAAGTAGAAGATCTATACAGGTGTTTTATGTTAAATGCTTGACAGCATGCGGTTTTGCGCTTATTTTTATATTTTCATGCCAAATCATTAGCACACCTCCTGTCTTTCAAAGAAATGTCAAAGCAGCTTCTTAACCACCATATGCTTTACATCCAACTAAGAACATAAAATACATTTTTAAGTCTTTCCCCTCTCTCTCTAAATAAAATTTGATGTGGTTTATCAACTTTGTTAAACAGCTTAGCTATACAATTAGCATAGTTCCTGTCAGCTAAAATAGCAGATCGCTTTAGTCCCTGAAGTGATTTGCTAGATATTTCCTTTTTTTGAGAGCAAGGTATTTGTGCTTAATGCTTTTCGAATAGCCATTTTAATTCATTTAATCTAATTCTACATTATTATTTTTTTCAAACTCTGAATCAAGTCTGAAAGACTTTAATTAGGTGAATTAAGGAAGGATTGATTTGAATTATTAGAAACTGTGTCTCATTGACAATCAATAAGTCTACATCATAATGGATTAAAATGAATCAAAGCAGATTGCTTGATATTGGTGTGAGTGCTAAGTGGGCAAACTTCTTTCATGGATAAACATTTCAAAAGGAAGAAGATCAGCTAATTAATTATGCAGCTGTGATTGTCAGATAAAAGTGAGATTGCTGTTTTAAGTTGTGTAATGAATTCTACTCCACTTCAGGGTTTATTCATCAGTTAGTGCTGATAACGGCTCTGTCTCTCTCTTTCTCTCCTTCTGTTAGTGTGGATTTGGTTCACGCACAGCTGCGTGTGTGTGAGGGCCGCAGTCTTCCTGAGCTGGGTCTCGAGCAGGACAAGATCCAGATCAATGGCTGTGCCATTCAGTGCCGGGTCACTACAGAAGACCCCTCCCGTGGTTTTCAACCAGACACAGGTCGCATAGAGGTATGCCTGCTAAATGACATGCAGTTATGCAAATTACAGTAGCATACACCTATTAATAATACAGGACTTGACAGATTGTGAAGTAACAGGAAACAAATGTGAAGCAACAAGAAACTAGAAACAAATCTCTGTTATTAGTCTATTCAATAAAATCTTAATTCATAATAAGATAAAGGTATTTTCTTTCCCTATAATTTTACTCGTTTTATAACCACTTTTATGTTTTTGGGAGCTTTTTTTAACTGTTTTTGTCCAGAAACCAAGAATTGAATCTAAAGCTACAATCCTGTTGTTTTACGATATGGCCATTACAGTGGCTACACTCATTTATCTGGATTTCTCTCTGCACTCTGCATTCATACACACTAAAACACACACAAAAACTCTCACACATTTTCAAAGAGGCGTTATTTTGATGAGTCATCGAGCAGTGAGCATTGACTGAAAGCGATTTTCAGGGAGTGCTCTTATTGAGTTGAAAGAGGAAACTAGCCCCTTTTTAAATGGGTAGCTGTGCAAAGAGTGATTGCATCATGACTTCAAAATGTGATGCCCAAAGAGAATTGAATCTAAAGCTACAATCCTGTTGTTTTACGATATGGCCATTACAGTGGCTACACTCATTTATCTGGATTTCTCTCTGCACTCTGCATTCATACACACTAAAACACACACAAAAACTCTCACACATTTTCAAAGAGGCGTTATTTTGATGAGTCATCGAGCAGTGAGCATTGACTGAAAGCGATTTTCAGGGAGTGCTCTTATTGAGTTGAAAGAGGAAACTAGCCCCTTTTTAAATGGGTAGCTGTGCAAAGTGTGATTGCATCATGACTTCAAAATGTGATGCCCAAAGATTCCCAACCCAAGATAAAAGTTGTAAAAATTGCTTTGACATTAGGTGATATAGCCACACATTTCATATTTCATCTTCATATTTCAGCTCTGAATTGGATACTATTTGACATATCAAAATAGCATTAGTAAAAGTTTAGGAAGTGAGACAGGGCCTGTGGAAACACGGAAACACTCTGTCTCGCTCTCTCTGACTCATCTGTTTCTCATTATTTCTTACATCTCTCCTGCCTGAAATCTTCACTTTATCTTTTGTTTCTGTCTTTAGCCTGGTGTAATAACAGATACATGAGTCTCATGGGATGCTTGAGTTTGCCCGTCTCTCAACCAAAATAACTGTGATATTTTTTTTTAACTTTTTTCTTTAGTTCCAATAGCTGCACAAGTTTTTTGAAACTTGGGGTGCGGGGGGGCTCAGCAAACATAGATGTAGTTCAGCCGTGAAATGCGTGTACCTAAAAAAATACACTGTTAAAAATGCATGGCCAAACATAATAAATCCTGGGTTGAATAAATAAGTCATGGCTTGAGTGCTAGAGAGAGGTGGAAGAGATGCACAGAGGGAGGAAAGCGAGAGAAAGCTCAGCGAGAAAGGGCTTAAAATGTCTGGCCCAGCAAGAGATCATAGCATTTTAGTTGAGCGAAAGAAAGAAAGAGAGATAAAGAGGTGAAGAAAATGAAAGAATGACTCCCTGAGCACAGAAATGCACACAGTCCTTCTGAGAAACAGTGGGATACAGAAAGAGATGGGGACAGTTAAATTAAAATGCCATTGACAGTAGATTTCTCTTTGCTAGGCTTTTGGAGACCGTCTACTCACACTTTATATTCTTAGGAGTTGAATTTATTTACTAATTTGAGAAACATGTTTCATGACATCACTGAAAACTTGTCTCGTTAAGTTCACCTAATGTGGTCTTCTAAAAGAGTCAACTTAACCATTTAATTAAAGCTGTTTAATTGTAGGTCGATTCAGTTAATTGTTTCTGCTTAATAATTTCAGTTGATTCACTCTCATTAACTAAATTATTGTCATCATATTAATTATATTGTCATTTGACTGACTCTGGCTCAGTCAAACATGATAGAGTTACCCAATATTTATGTGTACCTAAAGCAAATTTTTGAGGAGCAAAATGACTTCAAACACTTTCCAACTTTGTTCAAAGGGAACTCTAATCACCCTAATGGTAACTCTGTATGTCTAGGTAAAAAAGGGGGTATTATAAAGACCAAAAACTTCTATTAATTCTTAAAAACAACTATGTTTCCCTAAATTCCTACCCTTTTTCAAGCATACAGAATTAAATTGTTCAAGCGCACAGGCTTATATGTATTCCCCTCAGCTACAGTGCTCAGTTGCAGACACAACAATACCAAGTTCATTGCTGAGCCCTAGCGTTATTAAGGATTTATCATTCAGTCTAATTAGCTGAACCAAAAAAAAAAAACATGAATTCAACAAGTTTCTACCAGCCAGAGCAATATTTCTTTCATATAAATAAATACTGCAGGGAGGGCATGTTGTTGTTATTGTGTTTTCAGAACACATTACATACAAGTTAGTACGGCCAGTCAGATCAAAGAGAGAGTGTTATTTTGCAATTTATCACATTTTATGAACACTTTTTAATTTTATGATTTATGTATCCAAATACTTTTAGGAAGAATGTCCCCCGCCCCTGCCCCGTTCTTTCTTTTTATTTATTTATTTATTTTTTGGCAAATCTTCTTTTTCCCCTACCTCCTCTTGTACTGCTTGTATCAGATTATTTATTCATTTAAGAATTTTTAAAGGTATCGAGACAAAAATTATAGCTCCCAAATTCACAGTCACAGTAGTCACTTTTAAATATGCCAGATTATATGCTTGTTTATTATGAGTTTTGTTTTGTTTTGTTAAAAAAAAAAAAGAGAGAGAAATAATATATTTTCCATGACCTACCAAGAGAAGAGTCAAAAGATGAAAGGAATATAGTCTGTAAAGAGGAAAGAGTGGGACATAAGTGTGATTGAGTGAATAGGGTATTGTTCTGTACAATATATGGAAAGAGACAGAGAGAGCAGGGTAGAGGGAGGTATGTAAATCCATGGATGTGCAGGGTGGAGGAGAGAGACAAATGCAGACAGTGATGTATTAGGGACATATTGATGGAAAGATCAATGGATAAGAGATATGGACTCCGTTCACACAGTCAGTGTTTTGGATTGCAACAGTCAGTTAGCTGACAACTGTATGAGTTCTGCTCCTACAGCACATATCATCCAAACATGCTCTGTAAATATAGAACCAAACTCTTTTTTTTTCAAAACTGTACTGTTTATGAACAGTTCTAGCTGTCTGATCATGAATGGCAATGGTTTTCTGCTGCAACGTGAACAGACACTGTGAATCGTGCCCCGCCTGCGCGAGACCATCACATGCACATTCACACACTCACACGCACATCCGCTTCCTCATGCAATCAGAATAGATTTAATTCCTCTCTCAATCACATATCTTTCTGTCTCTCCCTCACTATACTCCTCCTCATCCCATCAGCCTTTTTCTCTCAGCGGGGATGAAACGCTACCTTACAGAGCATGTGAAATGCAAAAATACATCGGTTTACACAGACACGCTCTCAGGCTCGATATTAAAACAATGTGTGGGCGACCGTACATGTGTGGGCGACCGTCCCAGCTATACCGTACAGCTTATGTTTTATTATGCATATACAGAGGCAGTGAACCAAATGATCAGTGAGAGCAGAACGAATTTGTCGCACGTTTTAAAATCAACAAAATGGTAAAATACATATATCAAGAGCATGCTCACAGATGAAAACAACAGAGAACAAAACAGCGTTGGATGAAGTGGATTAGAACCCTGCACGGGCCTCAAATATAGGCCCTCGCCAGTCTTTTTCCCCCTTCTCCCAAAAAAGCTTATACTATTGTTTCAGGCAGTGGTGGTTCTACATTGAATTACACCCTGGGCGAGACCCCCTTCGAGTGCCCCCCCCTCCCCTGCAAAAAAACCCCACAAAATTCTGCACAAACAGTTATATCAAAGGTGGGTGGCTCATCCTGACCAGTGGCAGAGGATGCTCCAAAATATTTTAGAAGTGCCCCTGAAATTGCAGTTGAATTGCAATTGAAATTGAAATCAAAAGACCGTAGGATTGTTTTGTACAGCTAAAACATAATAGGAGGGTTACATAAACATGCCCTTACACGATAAATGTCTGTCATTACACGCTATATCCTCCTGAGACCCAGAAAAAAAAAGTTTTTTCATGTCATCACATTGTTTAGAGCATAAGAAGCAAATGGTAAAAAAACATTTTTGAAAAATTATATTTTATTAATATGTTATGCTATGTCCTCTGTAGTGGACACTAGGACTCAGTTGTTTAAAAAAAATTTTAACCAAAATTTGTATAAAGATGATTCTCAACTATGTTATGAAAGATATAATGGAATGAATTGATACACCATTTTACTTTATGCAATATGTGGGTAAAATGGCCATAAATTAATATTCCCAAATTTTTTTTTTTACTGCTCGTGCCGCCCCCCATGTATCATGAAAAAATGCCGCCCCGGGCGGCTGCCCGGTTCACCCGTGCCAAGAACCGCTACTGTACAGAGGGATCCAAAAGTATGATATCATATTGAAAATATGAGGGTATTTCCCATTTAAACCTTGAAATGAACAAAGTTGTAGTATTTAAAATGAAGACGCATTACAAAATAAAATAAAGAATATATGATTTTGCACTGTTTCTAGGTCACTAATCAAGTATAAGTAAAGTTGCAACATTGCTCTTGTGACTCTTTGTACAGACAGCCAGATGTTCTTGCAATAAAGCTCCAGATGCACTTTATATAACCTCAAATCATGAGATCATTTTGCACAAATTTATAGACTGTGTTAATGTTTCAACTTTTCACTCAAATTTTCATGATGACAGTATATTTTGTAAATGTTCAGAAGCATATTCAATAGATCATACTGTACTGTACCCAACTGTATGCACATTATATGCACATGCTCAGCTCATAATTCAGCCCACTGCAATTATTATGTAGAGCTAGTACACACAGAATAATTTATTAACAGATACAAGCATCATGCATGTGCTTAGAAGGCTTTGGTTTTG